GTGGATGGGAAGCTTTGTACCGTCCACCATCGTTGCTGTAAACTGAGTCTCCTCCGATGACTCTCCAATTTTCTCCAACGTCCCGCGGTCGCACACCGAGTGTGACGCACCACTATCCACTAGTGCCTGGAGGCGTCGCCTGTTGCAGATCACCTCGAGGAGTGGTGGATGCTGCTGCTCCGAGTCGCTGTAGATGGTCTTGCTTACAGGATCATAGGGTACGTCAAATATATCGTCCTTAGGTCCTGCGCTCGAAGCTGCTGACTCAATATCAGGTTTCACCTGAGTAGGGTTAGAAGGATTTATCCTATGCGGGTACAGCTTCTCCTGTTCCTGGAACCTTCCCCTAAGCCTTTGCAGATGTGGAGGCTTCACCTGTGGGGAACGGCGGGGAGCCTTTAAACAGTGCTGCTGGGAGAGAATATTAACTCCTTGGAACGCTCGACCCTTATCAACGCTCCAGGGTAGGGTCCCCATATTACCCGGTACCGGTTTAATTTCTGACTCTCCCTTAATAAAGGCTTAAAAACCACGAGAAGTAAAATTCTTACCTGTCGAGGTGTACGGCTGGAGTTTCCCAGTCGGTGCAGGGTCTTGTTTCGCGGAGTCTCTTTTTGTCTCGGCGATTTCCCCTGGTGCCGGCTGGTCGTGACGTTTTAAATTCGCGCCATCATGTTCTCCTTTTTTCGCCCTCTCCGAAGTTGCCACGTTGTCTGTTTTCGGCTTCGGGGGTGCCGCACTGTTCTTGCCCTTCAGCTCCGCACGTCTTTTCTTCATTTTCCAACACGCCAAGATACGATGTCCTGTAGCGCCGCAAAATTCGCACGTCTCGTTGTTTGCTAGCCGCTGCTTCGCATCGCCCTTGTCGTTCTCCATCGGGTCGGCAGTCGTGGGTGGTGCTGATTGCTCCATGCCACTATTTGGGCTGTTGCGTCGTGTTCCGTAGTAGCTACTGTTCAGCGCGTCGAACTGTTCGATCAGTGCTCCCCGAAACTGCGTCCACGTCCCTTCGCCTTGGACAAATTCGTTGTTAATCCACTCTAGAGCTGGGCCACGTAACAGTGTTGCTGCGAGCCGTATGCGCATCGCGTCTTGGGTGGGGGTCGTGCATCCAACGGCTTCGAAGTAAATTTCGAGTTCAGCTACGAATCGACGAACGTCGCTCCCTTTAACTATAGGATCGAACGCCTCTGGTAGCCTCGGCTTCACTGCTTCGAGGTTAAGTGTAGCTGCTGCCGTTGTCGCAGGTAGAATTGTCGGTGTTGCCGCTGCTGCTGCTGCTGCTGCTGCTGCTGCTGCTGCCGCTGTTGCATTCGCTGCTGCTGTAGCGGTTGCCGACTGGTTCGCAAGGAGTTTTTCGAGTCGTGGAAGCGCCGCACGTATCTGCTCATGCTCGGCTCGTAACTCTGCGATTTCCCATACAAAATTATCTCTATTTCGCTCCATTTGGCGATTTACTGGAAGATGTGCGACGAAGATAAATGAATTCTAGGTGCTGGTCGACTTACTGCGAGTCGAATTGACTGTAGAATCGACGAGCTCGAATTCTGTACGTTGTGCAATTTTCCCTTAGTCGATATTCGCGTCCGATCTCGGCCGTCGAGAAGAAACTCGATCCCACGCTCCAAATTCCAACTTTTTTGACCGAAATTTTCAGGACCGTTGAGATTCGAATCGATCTGACGGTCGAAATTCCAACTTTTCTGCCTATAGTCCTGAGGGGGTTTCGAAAACCGGATCGAGGGGGACTTAGAAAGACGGGAAAATATGTCAATGGTAACTTACATGGGGCACTATAACGCGTACGGTAACGATTTCAACGCGTTTGGTAACTCGCTTAACACGTTTGGTAACTCGCTTAACGCGTATGGTAACTATACACTAGCAGCCCATCACGCGAATGGTAACTAGAAGAAACCCTCGCCCAAAATGACCCTGATTCTGGGTTTTCCCGCTCGCGTCAGACTAAATTGACGAATCTTGAAGCAGAAACCTCTGACACACTCTCCGAAATTCTGACACATTTTTCCGAAATTCTGACACACTTTCCGAAATCCTGACACACTTTCCGATTTTCAAGCTAATTGCAAAAACGTAAGTGTTGTGAAAACAAAGTTTCTTACATAACTGATATTCTGGCGCTCTTTCCGCAAACTGTTTGTACTTCATTCTATCGTGCAGTCGGGGCAAACAAATATATACCCTTTTCAGATGGCAAATGAATTTGAGAGGCGACCCTAAACTCCTTGCGAGAAGGCGTTTATGGTTCTTTTTTTAAAACATGAAACATGTAATTTTAAAGAGGTGTATTTTTCCCACATGCAAAAATTCTCCAACGTTGCAATAATTACAAAAAGTAAAAGCCCCGAGGTCCTTTCGGGGAATGTTTGTTTTTTTTTATCATTTTGCAAATTCTCAATCATGCTATCAAAAATACGATTTTCACCGTTTTTGTACGAGCTACGTATATATTTAAAACGGCTCTGAAACTTTTCGGTCCGTGGTAATAGAACAAATGGGGTCCTTCAAAGTCGCGGCGAGACTTGTTCAAGAAAGATAAAACCGTGCGTAAAAGCTTTCAAACTCGAAAAAGTCCTCGTTGTCAGGATCATTTCGGCGGGAGTTTCATGTAGTTACCATTCGCGTGATGGGCTGCTAGTGTATAGTTACCATACGCGTTAAGCGAGTTACCAAACGTGTTAAGCGAGTTACCAAACGCGTTAAACGAGTTACCAAACGCGTTGAAATCGTTACCGTACGCGTTATAATGCCCCATGTAAGTTACCATTGACATATTTTCCCTAGAGAAATTGCGCGGAACTGGTTTTACATACCCGTATCGGCGCTTTCGTCGTCGCCCCCGCGGTTTTTAAAGGCCAGTTTTAAGCGGTTGAAGACCTCGCGTGTAAACCCGCTCTGATTACCAAGTGTGAGGATCTGGTTCAGGAAAGAGAAATCTATTCAATGATTCACGTGGGAGAGGCGATGCTACATATAGGCTCGACACAAGGCAGGCAACCCAGGTGTTACGCGAATGTTCTGAGGGTCGCGAGGCGTCCCGAACATAACCTTCCCGAACTCGGTAGAAAGCAATTTGGTGGGAACCGAAAAGGCTTGAGTTCGGTACACGTAACCTGGTTCGGTGCTATAACTAGAATAACATATAGGAATGCACCTAACCTAGGAAATCAAACATATCTATGTAGGATCAATAAAACCTAAGCTAGTAATAGCATAATAAAGTCCAGGCAAGCTAGCAAAGCCAGCATAAGCCGTCGTACTCTCACACGTATCCAGAGCTTGTGGGTTGCCTCATGTACCTCATGTACTCGGCCTGACCTCGCGTACCCTCTCAGCATCCTGGCCCGCTTCGTTGCTCCCGGTAGACACCGGAAGGAGCACTTGACAGCTGCTAAGAGGGTGCTGCGCTACGTGTCCAGTACATCAGGCATGGGGCTTGTGCTTGGAGGAGGGGGCCGAGTTGTTCTCACAGGTCACTCAGACGCTTCCTGGGCCAAACGACCAGGAGACTCAGCGTTCGTCAGAGGGTTACACTTTCAGTCTCGGCTCTGGTTCTGTCTCCTGGAGGTCCAGCCGCTCGTCTTCTGTTCTCAGCTCCAGTTGTGAGGCTGAGATCTACGCGAAGGCCATGGCTGCACAGGAGTTACGCTAGCTGACTAACTTGCTGACGGACTTGGGTGAGCCGCCTCGTTCTCCTCCAGTTCTGTACGTCGACAACAAGGCCATGATTGCCTTGTGTCGAGATCAGAGGCTGGAGCACATAACGAATCACATTGCGCTTCGTTACTTTCTCGCACGAGAGTTACAGCAGCGTGGTCAGCTTCGTCTTGCTTACGTGGCCTCACAGGCCAACACTGCTGATGTCTTCACCAAGGCCCTCGGATCTAGTGATCATCAGCATTTCTGAACTGCTCTTGGGCTTGTGCCCACTCTGCTTCACCTCACCTGCTTGTCTCTTGATCTAGCTTTGCCCTTTTTGTACACTGCTATATATATGTATACCTGCATGTTTTCACGTGCTAGGTTGTGATCAGTGTACTGCCATTGCTATTATAACTATGCATGTGAACTGGCCTTGAGGCCGCTTGCTTGTGCTCGGACTGCTTGGTGATCTTGAGATCCACCCTGAGCTTTGCTTTGTTTGCCTCTCTTGACTGGTCTTGTGACCATCTTGTTGTCCCCCACTTAGCCTATGGGGGTGTGTCAAATTGCCATTGTGCTTGTTAGGCTATAGTGGGGCACTCCATATGGGGTACAACACATTCTAGGGTTAGTACTTGTACCCCAATCTTTGCTAGTCAAACCATTCCGCTGTACTATCATTATGACAGGAATGCCTCTACGGTATTCCTTCACTTCACCGTGCTTCCTAAGGCTGTCCAATATGGGAGTTAAGTGCGGATGGACCGGAATCATCACCTGCCCGCCGAAGCTGAGAACCTTGGAGATTCACGAGTCAAGGTTTCCATGCCTGCCCAAGAGCTTTGCGTGCTTTCATCGCATCAGGAAATTGCTGTTGATTCACTGTGAACAGATGAAGTCGCTTCCAGAGTACCCGCCTCACTGAGCTCACCATAAGGGGCTGTAAGGGTACGATCCATATTCCAGAAAGTCTAGAGAAAGTCAGAAAGCCATGTACGGTATAAGGTGGTGGAAAGGTGTGAAGGGGGACTGTGAGTTAGAGTGAATAGAATAGCTGATTAGTCTGTGAGAAACGCAATTCAAATACGGAAGTACCTTATTTCTCACCTATTGGGGCTCTTTCACCATCATCGAGTCACCTGAAATTATCAATATTGTACAGTAGTGTCATGCTAACAGTCACGTTAGCCATTCTCTTACTCCATCAGTTACATGGCATTACCGTATCTTGGAATGGTCAGCCTGGACTCCACAGCCTGCTGCACGCTGTGTCGTTTCAGGATGTCCACGGGTACTTCCCAGGATGTGGCAATGCTACAGCGTTATCACCATGCGAGCTACTCCGTGGGTGCAGAGGCATCAGGTGGCGCCAGGGACTCCACAAACTGCTGCAGCTCCACCCTCTCCTCTCGCGTCAGGCCCCGTGCTGATCCCCCCTTGTCTGCGTGGGCTAAACCCTTGTGGCGCGGCCACAGCTTGGTCACCGGGTCAGGCGCCCAGCCTGCAGTGACGTTGGTGGCGGGTCAGAGGGAGGAGAGTGGCCAATGAGCAGAAGGAGGGGGGGTGGGGGGAAAAGGGGACTAGGAAGGAAAGTGCGACTGTAAAGTGGGGCCGACGGCATGTGCTATGCTGATGCATTAACGTCTCAGCTTGCCTGCTGGATCGCCAGCATGCGGCGCAGCAAAGGGAGAAGAGAAGGTCAAAGGGTCGCACCTGTGGGAAGCGGCAGCTGAGCAAGGGCGCTTGACACGGCACGCAAGTTCACTGCCCTCGCACCACCCCCCCCTCTCCCCACACTGCTCAGATTCGCCTCAAGTTCGGACCCTTCCGGCACCCCTTCAGCCGCTGCCCTTTCCGCCGCCCCTTCCAGGGTGGTGAGGCCCAGGAGGGCAGCGAGGCGGGAGAGGCAGAGCAGCTCCGAGGGGCTGCCGGGCGGCACGATGGAGGCCAAGGGGATGACGGCCGCAGCGTGCTGCTTCCAGCGATGGTGGTCGCACAGGTAGGCCTGCATGTGGGCCTTGATGCGCCTGCATGCAGACGCGCAGAGGAAGCAGGGTTGGTAGAGAGGAGTGGGATTTTTTTTCAAAAAGAGGAGAGACAAGATGCTGGTCACGCAGGTAGGATTGCAGGTGGGCCTTGATGCGCCTAAACGCAGGCATGCAGAGGGGTGGGAAGGTTAAAGTAATGAACAGTGGGACGGGTGAACGAGAAGGGCGAGGTAAAACACGTTCTTCGTCCAGAGCTTGCAGTGGGACGGGTGGCCCTGATGCGACTGCGGGAGTGCATGCGAGAGGGTGAGGAAGAGGGGGGAAAAGGCAGAGACGAGTGTGCTTGGGGGTGACGGTCGCACTGCTGGTGTAGTCGAAGGCAGAGACGAGTGTGCTTGTAGATGAAGGGGGGCACTCACGAGGTGCGATGCAGCAGGGAGAGGAGGAGAGAGACGAAAGATGGTAAGAGAGAATCGAGTGAAGGCAATCACTGATGAGGAGCCAGTGGCATCAATGTGTGGCAGTGCAAGTGTGTTGGGGACACGGATAGTGGGTGTGGCCAGGAGGGGCTTAAATGACATCGGAGAGAAGGAGATGCGGGGCACAGGGGGATGCAGGAGTGGAAGTGGTGAGGAGGAAATCCGTGCAAGGTGGGCGCAGTGAGTGGTGCAAGGGCTCACACGTGACGCAGAACTGAGGACGCGGCAAGGTGGATGGCTAGACGCCATGCTGTGATCCCCGTATGACTCACGGCATGCTGTGTGACTCACGGCATGCTGTGTGGTAACCAGCCGACGCGGAGGTACGAGTCAGCGACGCCACACACGTCCCTCTCAGTCAGCACAGCAGCACCACCCCACTCCACTCGCCCTCCTCCCACCCCTCCGCCCACTCGTGTGTCTTCACCACCACGCTCACTCCTCCCCACTCCCCTCCATCCATCCTCACCCCCTCCCCATCTCCTCTCCCCCCTAATTCCGCGGACCCCCCTCCCCCCCCCTCTCCCCTCCCCTCCCCCCCAGGTCCGCGGCTGCAGAGTGGAGTGAGCCCCCTGGCGCGCAGCTTGCTGGCGGAGATGGAGTGCAGCCAATAGGAGAGCGCCAGCTGGCCCGAGTGGGCGAGCAGCAGGCGGACGGCGTTGAAGAGCCACGTGGAGCCTGCAGTCGGGCAGGGAGGGGAAGGGTGAGATGGGAGGAGGGGTTGGGTGGAGTGAGGGAGATGGGAGGGGGGGTTGGGTGGAGTGAGGGAGATGGGAGGGGGGGTTGGGTGGAAGAGGGTGGGTGCGGAGGGGGGGGGAGGGGAGAAGACAGGGAAGGCCGTGATGTGGGGTGTGCAGTGAGCAAGGGCCAGAGAGCTGTGTGTGTTGGACCTTGGAGCCCGCAGGGGGGGGATGCGGGTGGTGACGGGTGGGGGTGTGAAGTGTGTGGGTAGAGGGCGAAGGGGATGGGGGGAAGGGGATGTGAAGGGGGTTCAGTGAGGTGAGGGGAAAGGGAGGAGGATTGCATGGGGAGTGGAGCGCGCGAACGTGCAGTGAGGGAAGTCGTGCGACTCGTCAAAGTAACTGGGGCGGCGGTCACGAGCTTTAGACCTGTTGGAGACCAATGGGCCAACAAGGGGTTATCCAGAGGCGCGGCGGTTGCTCTTCAAGCCTTGGTGTGAGCGAGCGGGCGTGGAAAATGATGGGTGGAGTGATGGCGGGCAGCTGCGGAGGATGAGGGCGCGGAGCATGAGGGCGCGGAGCATGAGGGCGCGGAGCATGAGGGCGCGGAGCATGAGGGTGCGGAGTTGGATGGTAGGAGGTTGAAGGACCCATGAGGTCGATCAATACAGGGCTTAAAGCCCCGGCGAGAGCAGTGCTTATTGAGACGACTCAAGCACAGTGCGTGGAGCAACGCTATGAGCGCGCGATGAGTGGGTGGTGGCAGCCGCACCCGACCTCTCTGGTCCCGCGCACACGATCAGCCGCGGCCTGCTCCCCCACGCGCCACTGCCGTCCCTGCTCTGCGCAACGTGTCGGCTCGACAGGACATCTCGCCACGTGGGGTCCACGTGGAGCAGCTCGCACTCGCCGTCGCCGCAACCACTGCCGGCCGGACAGAGCGTTCGCTGCGCCCACGACGGCAAGAGTTCAATCACGGTTTCGCCTCCTAACGAGGATTCTATATTCGCGGATGAATGGAGCCCGCGCGACTCGGCCGCCATGGCGACTACGGCTGGGCGCGATGAGGCTGAGGGTGGCGCCACGAGCAGCCTGGCGAGAGACGGCGTCAGGAGCGGCTTGAGCGGTCGGAGCAAAGATTTGCGTGGCAGCGCGGCGAGAGATGAGAAGTGGACGCGAAGCAACGGTGCTACGGCAGGCATGGCTGACAGTCACGAATTGCTGAAATCGGCTTGATGCTGATGAGCAATTTATGGCGGCTTGTTCGCTTCACCGCTTTCAACCGTTACTTACCAGCCTGAACATTGATTATGAGCTGCGAACGAACCAAGGGTGACATGCCCTCATGACTTGGCCCACATTTGTCTTGTTGCCCCGTTAGTACAATCCTCGCTCGCTCCCTACACTGCACTCATCACAGTTCTTCGCGCTAAAATTGTCCCTGCAACGGAAAGTTCCGCGATAAGCCAAAATGTGTGCGACGAGTGCGATTAGTCACCAGCACAATCCCACCAATGCCCTCCCCGTAAGAACCGCCTGATGCTCAGCGGGCCTTTCTTGCAGCGACCCACGGGAACGGCGGAAACATCGCGGAGCGAGGCAGCGCGGAGAGGTTGCACGCAGGCGCGAGCTACGAGCGGCGGGTGAAGCGCCGCGCGAATGGCGGCTGCGCCGCTGGGAGGTGTCCCGCCAGGCGTGGGCGGCGTGCAGCCCACAGCCGCGCAGGCGCCGATGCCGCGGCTGCACATGGCTCAGCCGCAACCGCAGACGCAGGCGCATCCGCAGCAGCAGCAGGCGGGGCAGCAGAGGCCGCGAGGGGCGGTGAAGCAGGTGGTGGTGGTGGTGGAGGGCACGGCGAGCATGGGGCCGTGGTGGGCGCTGCTGCGACGCCTCTACCTGCACCCGCTGCTCAAGTGCGTAGTGCGTGCGCCCTCCCACTAGGCTCTCCGCTTCACTTCCATGCTGCTCACGTGCGTGCCCCGCAGCGTCGCTCTGCTATAGCGCGTCCCTGCAGCGCGCCATGCGATCCCATCCACTCACTCCTCTCGTCCTGCTCTCTCGTCCCTTTCCCTCCAATTCCTGCTCTCCTCATCGCATCCCTGTCCTCTCCCCGTTCCCCTCCGTGCCTCGCCCTCCGCCCTCTTCCCTCTGCCCCCCTGCCCTCCGCCCCCTTTCCCTCCGCCCCATTTCCTCCCCCCCTCTGCCACCCCCCTCGCCCTCCGCCCGCGTGCCTCCGCGCATGCCGTGGTCGCCAGGGCATTCTGCAGTGTCGACTCGCTCACGCAGGTCAGGGCGGGGCGGGGCACGGCGGGGCGGGTCAGGGCGGTTCAGGGCAGGGCAGGGGAGGGCGGGGCGGGGCACGGCGGGGCAGGGCAGGGCGGGGTGGGGCGGGGCGGGGCGGGGCAGGGCAGGGCAGGGCGGGGCGGGGCGGGGCAGGGCAGGGCGGGGCGGGTCAGGGTGGGTCTCAGCAGCATATGAGCACGTCTCGGCTATTTCCTCGTCCCCGTTCCCGTGCCTCCTCCACCCTCCTCCTCCCGTCTTCACTCCCTTGCTGCTCCTCCAACCTCTTCCACCTTCCTTCTCTCACCGCCTACAAATGCTATCCACTCATGCATGCTCACTGCCACTCACTCTCCTGCCATTCCACTCACTTCCATGACACTGAATCTCCTTGACACCTGTTCACTCGCGTTGGCTCGGGTTGACTTTCGCTGACTGGTGCTGATGGTCGTTGACTAGCGTTGACTGGAGTTGACTGACGTTCACTCTCATTGACTGGCGTCGAATGGCGTTGACTGCTGTTGACCGTGTGGCAGAGGGCGGGCACAGCAGCGGTGGAGCTGGCTCTCGTCGTCTACCACTCGCACGGCTCCTTCTCAGGTGTGCCAAGTTCTATCATGGATGCAGCGTGCGCCCTTCCCAGGTGAGGCGCCCTTCCCAGGTGAGGCGCCCTTCCCAGGTGAGGCGCCCTTCCCAGGTGAGGCGCCCTTCCCAGGTGAGGCGCCCTTCCCAGGTGAGGCGCCCTTCCCAGGTGAGGCGCCCTTCCCAGGTGAGGCGTCCTTCCCAGGTGAGGCGCCCTTCCCAGGTGAGGCGCCCTTCCCAGGTGAGGCGCCCTTCCCAGGTGAGGCGCCCTTCCCAGGTGAGGCGTCCTTCCCAGGTGAGGCGCCCTTCCCAGGTGAGGCGCCCTTCCCAGGTGAGGCGCCGTTCCCAGGTGAGGCGCCCTTCCCAGGTGAGGCGCCCTTCCCAGGTGAGGCGCCCTTCCCAGGTGAGGCGCCCTTCCCAGGTGAGGCGCCCTTCCCAGGTGAGGCGCCCTTCCCAGGTGAGGCGCCCTTCCCAGGTGAGGCGCCCTTCCCAGGTGAGGCGCCCTTCCCAGGTGAGGCGCCCTTCCCAGGTGAGGCGCCCTTCCCAGGTGAGGCGCCCTTCCCAGGTGAGGCACCCTTCCCAGGTGAGGCGCCCTTCCCAGGTGAGGCGTCCTTCCCAGGTGAGGCGCCCTTCCCAGGTGAGGCGCCCTTCCCAGGTGAGGCGCCCTTCCCAGGTGAGGCGCCCTTCCCAGGTGAGGCGCCCTTCTCAGCTGCGCCCTTCTCAGCTGCGCCCTTCTCAGGTGCGCCCTTCTCAGGTGCGCCCTTCTCAGGTGCGCCCTTCTCAGCTGCGCCCTTCTCAGGTGCGCCCTTCTCAGGTGCGCCCTTCTCAGGTGCGCCCTTCTCAGGTGCGCCCTTCTCAGCTGCGCCCTTCTCAGCTGCGCCCTTCTCAGGTGCGCCCTTCTCAGGTGCGCCCTTCTCAGGTGCGCCCTTCTCAGCTGCGCCCTTCTCAGCTGCGCCCTTCTCAGCTGCGCCCTTCTCAGCTGCGCCCTTCTCAGCTGCGCCCTTCTCAGCTGCGCCACGTTGCCCCTGCTAGATGCATCCTAACCTCCTTTCCTCTCCTCCTCTCCCGTTTGCAGCCTCTCGGTTCTTCCACACACCCTCCACTCGCCCTTCTTCAAATACCCTCCTCCACACCACACTCTCCACCCCGCCCTATAACATGCAAGACATTCCCAGTCGTAACTGATGCTGAGACGTCGTACCCTCCTCACCTCTCGAGAGGGAACTCTCAAGGCGACGCATTGCCATCTGTGCTCTCCTCCCTCTCCCCCACCTTCGCCGCCCTCCAACTTCATCCACCCCCCCCCCCCCCCCAACCCGCCCGCCACGCCATCAGCCTCGCTGCTGCAGACGCCCTTGACGCCATCGTCCGCCGCGCCTGGCTCGACGCCATTCCTTCTCACGAGGCGGCACAAAATCTCTCGTGATCCCTCTCCCCCCTCCACTCGCCACCCTCCACCCGTCCCCCACCCCGTCCTGCACCCCGCCAGCCTCGCTGCTGCAGCAGACGCCCTTCACAGCCTCACCTGCCGTCTTCCTCTCGTGGCTCGACGCCCTCTCCTTCTCGGGGGGCGGCGCTTCCGACGCCGCCGTTGCTGAAGGCCTCTCAGAGGCGCTGCTGGTGAGTTGAGGCGCTGCTGGTGAGTTGAGGCGCTGTTGGTGAGTCGAGGCGCTGCTGGTGAGTTGAGGCGCTGCTGGTGAGTTGAGGCGCTGTTGGTGAGTCGAGGCGCTGCTGGTGAGTTGATGCGCTGCTGGTGAGTTGAGGCGCTGCTGGTGAGTCGAGGCGCTGCTGGTGAGTCGAGGCGCTGCTGGTGAGTCGAGGCGCTGCTGGTGAGTTGAGGCGCTGCTGGTGAGTTGAGGCGCTGCTGGTGAGTTGAGGCGCTGCTGGTGAGTTGAGGCGCTGCTGGTGAGTTGAGGCGCTGTTGGTGAGTCGAGGCGCTGCTGGTGAGTTGATGCGCTGCTGGTGAGTTGAGGCGCTGCTGGTGAGTCGAGGCGCTGCTGGTGAGTCGAGGCGCTGCTGGTGAGTCGAGGCGCTGCTGGTGAGTCGAGGCGCTGCTGGTGAGTTGAGGCGCTGCTGGTGAGTCGAGGCTGGCAGGGGGGGCATTGAGGTGAGGTGAGATGAGGTGAGGTGGTGCTGCTGCTGCTCCCCCTTCTTCTGCTCCCCCTCCTGCCCTCCTTCTGGCACAACGATGCTGCCCTCCTAGTCCTGCGCCCCCCCCTCGTGCTGCAAATGTGTCACCATAAACCCAACCCAACCCAAGCACCACTTCCCTCCACCATGCCACCCATTCACATTCACCTCCACATCCACCACGAGCTACCTGTTGCAGCCACGTGGTGCCCGTGGCAGCCCAGCCCAGCACCACCCTCCCACCTCACCTGCTCTGTCCTCTTCCCCCCTCCTCCATCCTTCCCTCCCCTCGCCCCCTCCTCCTCACCGTCATCCTTTTCCCCTCCAGATGCTGTGCCCCACGCCTGCCCCCACAGCCACCCCACCAGCAGGCTTGGAGCGCCACAAGCACGTGGTGCTCGTCGCTGCCTCGCCACCCCACCGCCTGCCCACCCCCGTCGTCAAGCCGCCCCTACCCACCACAACCTCTGCTGCTGATGGTGCTGGTGGCAGTGGCGGCGGCGGGAGCGCGTGGGAGGCAGCAGCGTGGTGGCTGGCGTCGGCCCACACGGTGGCATCCCTCTTCGCCCACCCGCAGGTGCACACAGTGTGATGTGATGGCGAGCAGCGCAGCGCGTGATGATGGCACCATGCTGCATGCTGCATCTGCTGCATCTGCTGCATCTGCTGCATCTGCTGCATCTGCTGCATCTGCTGCATTTGCTGCATCTGCTGCATCTGCTGCATCTCCTGCATCTGCTGCATCGTCTCTCGTGTTGTCCTTCTTTTGCGCCGCCGCTGCCAACTTCTGGTCCTCGCTCACTGGCTTCTGGCTGAAGCGATCACATGTGTCCGATTCTGGGTTGATGTGTTGCATGCGGGGTATTGCCCTGAGCTGCATACATCTTTCCATCAATGCGCATGCCGTGTGTGTGTGGCATCGTGTGTGTGTGGCATCGTGTGTGTGTGGCATCGTGTGTGTGTGGCATCGTGTGTGCGTGGCATCATGGTTGCATGACCTGGTCGCACGTTTCTTGCAATGCCATGGGAATGCTGTGGCATGACATGACATGATAATGCATGGCATGGAGTGGAATGGCATGGCAGCTCTACGTCACTCTCTCGCTCATCGCTCCTCGCAACGTGCCTCAACTGAGGCAACTATACGTCGCAGTAAGCCCCTCCCTCTCGTCGTTGCAAGGCCCTCCCCCCCTCGTGTGTGACACCATCGCTCATTGCGACCACGTCATTCCAACTGTCCGCTCCCTCCGCATGTGCCCAGCATGGCAGGGCACGGCGCTTTCATTAGCAGCATTAGATTAAACCGGTTACCCGTTACTCTACTGCCTTCACTTCTTTTCAGCTTCTCACATCCCCTGCAAATAGCACAGCCGTTGACTCCCCATGGACCCCCACGTGCACCTGCTGATCAAAGCAGAGTTGCTGAAGTCACCCCACCCACTCGCCCCACTCATAGAGCCTTGGGCTACAGCATTGATGACCGTCTGATAACAAGGATTAAGCACGCAATGGCACTGTCTGCACCACACCAAGCAATAACAGTGTAGTGACCCTACAGCCAGCCCACCCGTATCGTGAAGCCCATCAATGTGTGTGCATGTGTGTGCATGTGTGTGCTTGCCCTTCCCCATCCTCCCTTCCCCCAGGCAAAGCGCAGCCCTAGGGCAGCGGAACCAGTAGCGAATGCAGCGAGGCAGCACCCCCACCATGTGGCGCTCATTTCTGAGGGCTTTCTGGCCGTTCCCCCCTCCCTTTCTCCCCCTTCTCCTCTCCTCCTTCCCCCCTTCCCCCCCCCCTGCCCCCCTCCCCCCCCCCCCTGCCCCCCTTCCCCCCCCCCTGCCCCCCTTCCCCCCCCCCGCACCACCAGGCAAAGCGCAGCCCCAGAGCAGCGGAGGCAGTGGCGGACGCGGCACGGCAGCACGCCCACCACGTGGCGCTCATTGCTGAGGGCTTCCTGGAGGCGCGCACCGTGCTGCACCGCGCCCCCCCGCCCAATGAGGCCGTTCCACGTGGCGCCCAGGCGGTGGGCCCCTCTCCTGGTGGAGGAGGGCCCGCGGCGGGGGCTGGTAGTGTGGCAGCGGTGGCGATGGCGGGCTCAGTAGGTATGGGTGAGAGGCATGGGTGGGGCAGGCCGGCATATGTCGGCTATGGTTTCTTGCAGAAGCCATTGGTTTCTGAGTCTACTAAGGAATGGTTTCGGGGCGTGGACATGAAAGCAGCTTGCTTGATCTGCTCGCACTGCACTTCCTCAAGAATGCTTCCAGTCCAGACGCCTCCAGAAATAATTGTCGCGAGCGGATCTCAAGTTGTGTGTTCAACTTTGCGCGTTCCTCGTGTTGGCATCCCACAGGGCGACTGCCACAGCAACCCGGGGCGCCCATGGTTCAGCAGGCAAAGCAGGTGGGCGGTGTATGTGCCGTGCGTGCATTGTTCAACGTACCATGCGCGATAATGTCCTGCATATCCATGCCCACACTTGTGTGCTCTCCTCTTTCCCCCAAACTCACTAGAACGAACCACCTTCATGTTCGACTCAAGCCACGTTTTTGTTCGATTCAACCGAGCCTACATTATACTCACATTTTTTCCTGCAAGTTCTTTTCACCTTTCCTTTATCACCAGTTGCAGGCTTCATGTACCTTGTTGTTTACCTTGCGTTGGTATCGAGGCAGTTATTCCCGACGGCGCACACACGCTCACAGACACACACACACATACACACACACTTGTGCACGCACAAACACACCTGGACTTACATGCACACACGCGAACAACGCACACACATGTGCACGCACAAGCACACAACCACACCCACACCCACACCCACACCCACACCCACACCCACACCCACACCCACACCCACACCCACACCCACACCCACACCCACGCCCACACCCACGCCCACACTCGCCCGCGCGCGTGAGCGTGCGCATGCACACATGCATGCACACACGCATGCACACACGCATGCACACATGCATGCACACACGCATGCACACATGCATGCACACATGCACGCACACACGCATGCACACACGCATGCACACATGCATGCACACACGCATGCACACACGCATGCACACATGCATGCACACACGCATGCACACATGCATGCACACACGCATGCACACATGCATGCACACATGCATGCACACACGCATGCACACACGCATGCACACACGCATGCACACATGCATGCACACACGCATGCACACACGCATGCACACACGCATGCACACATGCATGCACACATGCATGCACACACGCATGCACACATGCATGCACACACGCATGCACACATGCATGCACACACGCATGCACACACGCATGCACACACGCATGCACACATGCATGCACACACGCATGCACACACGCATGCACACACGCACACAGGCATGCACACAGGCATGCACACAGGCATGCACACACGCATGCACACATGCATGCACACACGCATGCACACACGCATGCACACACGCATGCACACACGCATGCACACACGCATGCACACATGCATGCACACATGCATGCACACATGCATGCACACAGGCATGCACACAGGCATGCAAACACGCATGCACACACGCATGCACACACGCATGCACACACGCATGCACACACGCATGCACACACGCATGCACACACGCATGCACACGCGCATGCACACGCGCATGCACACGCGCATGCACACGCGCATGCACACGCGCATGCACACATGCATGCACACACGCATGCACACACGCATGCACACACGCATGCACACACGCATGCACACAGGCATGCACACACGCATGCACACACGCATGCACACACGCATGCACACACGCATGCACACACGCATGCACACACGCATGCACACACGCATGCACACACGCATGCACACACGCATGCACACACGCATGCACACACGCATGCACACACGCATGCACACACGCATGCACACACGCATGCACACACGCATGCACACACGCATGCACACACGCATGCACACACGCATGCACACATGCATGCAGACATGCATGCACACACGCATGCACACACGCATGCACACATGCATGCACACAGGCATGCACACACGCATGCACACACGCATGCACACACGCATGCACACACGCATGCACACACGCATGCACACACGCATGCACACACGCATGCACACACGCATGCACACACGCATGCACACATGCATGCACACATGCATGCACACACGCATGCACACACGCATGCACACACGCATGCACACACGCATGCACACACGCGCGCACACACGCGCGCACACACGCGCGCACACACGCGCGCACACACGCGCGCACACACGCGCGCACACACGCGCGCACACACGCGCGCACACACGCGCGCACACACGCACGCACACACGCGCGCACACACGCACGCACACACGCACGCACACACGCACGCACACACGCACGCACACACGCACGCACACACGCACGCACGCACGCACGCACGCACGCACGCACGCACGCACGCACGCACCCACGCACGCACACACGCACGCACACACGCACGCACACACGCACGCACACACGCACGCACACACGCACGCACACACGCACGCACACACGCACGCACACACGCACGCACACACGCACGCACACACGCACGCACACACGCATGCACACACGCACGCACACACGCACGCACACACGCACGCACACACGCACGCACACACGCATGCACACACGCATGCACACACGCATGCACACACGCATGCACACACGCATGCACACACGCATGCACACACGCATGCACACACGCATGCACACACGCATGCACACACGCATGCACACACGCATGCACACACGCATGCACACACGCATGCACACACGCATGCACACACGCATGCACACATGCATGCACACACGCATGCACACTCGCATGCACACTCGCATGCACACTCGCGTGCACACACGCGTGCACACACGCGTGCACACACGCACCACACACGCACCACACACGCACCACACACGCGTGCACACACGCGTGCACACACGCGTGCACACACGCGTGCACACACGCGTGCACACACGCGTGCACACACGCGTGCGCACACGCGTGCACACACGCGTGCGCACACGCGTGCGCACAGGCGTGCACACAGGCGTGCACACACGCGTGCACACACGCGTGCACACACGCGCGCACACACGCGTGCACACACGCGCGCACACACGCGCGCACACACGCGCGCACACACGCGCGCACACACGCGCGCACACACGCGCGCACACACGCACGCACACACGCGCGCACACACGCACGCACACACGCACGCACACACGCACGCACACACGCACGCACACACGCACGCACACACGCACGCACACACGCACGCACACACGCACGCACACACGCACGCACACACGCACGCACACACGCACGCACACACGCATGCACACACGCATGCACACACGCATGCACACTCGCATGCACACATGCATGCACACACGCGTGCACACATGCGTGCACACACGCATGCACACACGCGTGCACACACGCGTGCACACACGCATGCACACACGCGTGCACACCTATGTTGGAAAAAACGCTAAAGTTCAGTTGCGTTTTGAGTATAAACGCACCAAAAACGCGTACGCTGCGTTTTTGGTGTAGAAACGCAAAAATCCGCACGGGCAGACCTAAAAAAAAAAGGTGCGTATTCTGGTCGTTTTCTGCGTATCGCGAAATCGAATTACGTGCGGGCCAAAATCGAGTTACTTGCTCACCAATTTCGATTTCGTGCTCCCCGAGTCGCGACCCCACAAATGTTACACCCCTGCACAACCCACTTCACTGCATTCACTTCCAACCCCTTCCAACCAAATGATGTCTGGCAGTTCATCCCCCAACCTCTTCTTTCCAGGCATAAATGAAGGCGTTCCTTCACTCGTCAATCATTCCTCTCTCAGATTAGTAGTTGTTCTAGCGTTTTGGAAGCATGGCTTCCGTTGCAGAAATGACTCCTCCCAGCAACCCGACTTCAGCTCCTCGTGGTAGTTCCGTCGAGTGCGAGAGCACTCCCCTGTACATCATGGACAGTGACCACGCCGTGTTCAAGCACTTCAAGGTTGCTGTGGGTGTGGATAACGCCCTCACCGCGTCCAAGGTATGCGCTTATTGTGCATTCAAGTTCAACGGCGGGATGTACCGGTGCGCCCAGCACATCACCGGCTGGAACGGCATGCGGCGTCGTGAAGTGCGCTTGTGCTCCGACGCGCCGAAGTCGGCGCGTGATGGCGTCAAGGCGGTTTACGAGGACAAGCAGAAGGCCCGCGACAACAAGCGATCGGCGGAGCGATCCGCTATTGCCGCGGTTTCCAACTCTGCGGGCGCGCCAAAAAAGAGTCGCATGACGGACTTCTACGGCGATGAATCTACGTGCGCTAAGAAGGAGGCGGATGACTCAATTTGCCTTCTCTTCGCGGCCCTCCGTCTTCCCGAGCATCATGCAGACCACCCACTGTGGCGCAACGCGGTTTCCTGCATCGCACGCGCGGGTGGTTCATACACGCCACCGAAGCGACGCTTCATCGGAGGAGCCGGCCTCCGAAACTGCCGGCAACGCATCGAGGTCGCTCTTGCGCCGATCGCCGCAAGCTGGCGCCGTAACGGCGTCACCATCGCTTCAGACATGATGACCGACGCCTCGGGCCGCCCACAAGCAAACGTGCTGCTCATAAACGACAGCGGCGCCGTCTTCACCGAAGCGGTCGACACACAGATGGAGGTGAAAACAGGCGGCTACATTGCGGGGATGTTGAGGCCGATCATTAAAAAGGTGGGAGCCGAGAACGTGGTGGCACTCTGCATGGATGGAGGCTCGAACTACGCTGCGGCATGCCGGGAACTCATGGTGGAGTTCCCACACCTCGAACAAGTCCCGTGCGCGACCCATGTCCTCGATCTCCTCATGGAGGACATTGGGAAGATGAATTGGGCGAGGGTGGTGGTCACGCGGGCGGCCGAGATCATAAACTTCGTTCGTAGCCACCACTTCACGCGTGGCTACTTGCGGAGCCCCCTCGTCAACGACGGCAAAGGCAAGCAGGTTCTCAAGCCTGCGGGAACCCGCTTCGGGACCCAGTTCATCGCGGTCTCACGCCTGGTCGAGCTCCGCATGTCTCTGCTGCAGATGGTCTTGAGCGAGGAATGGCGGCCTTGGGCGACAGGGGGAAGGAGGGCGAGCGCGGAGGTGTTTCACGGGTACATCCTCGACTCGGAATGGTGGAAGGTGGCCGAATTCTTCACGGTGCTGATGGAGGCTCCCTTCAAGGTGATGCGCGCCACGGACGGCACCGCCAAAGGGATGATGGGGCGGCTTTACGACTTGATGCTGCAGCTCACCGAGGATGTGCACGACATCCTCGAGGCGAAGGGCGACGAGTTCCTGACGCGGGGGGAGATGGGGGAGATCAGGAAGATTGTGAAGGCAAGGTGGGATGAGGGTTTGGCATGCCCCATGCATGTGGTTGGCCGAATTTTAAACCCGGCCAACCAGGAGGAGGGCATTTTCCGCAACGACGTGGAGTGCACCCGTGTTCTGAAAGCCTACATCTCCAAGCACTACGACGATGTCACCATCACAAGCAAGGATGGTGAAGAGCGTCGTGCCTCCCTTGTCTTGCAGGAAGGGCTCACGGCATTCCTGAACCTGGAGGGGAGTTTCGGCATGCCTGCAGCGATTGCTGATCGCGAAGCTGTGAAAGCAGAGACCCACACTGCTCTCCAGTGGTGGGAGTGGCACGGGACGGACTACCCTCACCTGGCGACGCTCGCATGCCGCTCGCTCACGCAGCCCGTGTCCGCCTCGTCGTGCGAGCGGAATTGGGCGGTGTGGGACGGGGTGTACACCGCCAAGCGCAACCGCCTTGGCTCTGAAAAGTGCCGGGATTTGGTGTACGTTGCGCACAACTGGAAAGTTGTGCACAACTGGTACACCGTCCCGGAGGGCCAGGGGGTGGTCACGGGCAACATTGAGGCCCCTCCCCTTCCCGAGGGGTACAAGGTGGCAGAAGAGGGGTGGGAGGAGGAGGCGGACCAGGGGGAGGATGTCATCATGAACGATGAGTATGAGTAGTCCTCAATTTGAGAAGTGCTTGCAATCCTGCCGTGGGGGAGGTGGAAGTACCTTGATGTGTAGTAGGTGCAATGCAACAAGGGGCGGGGGGGGGGGTGTAGGATGCACTATGTAGTAGTATGAGAATAGTGTCCTGTAGGGAGAGGGAAAGAGGTAGTGATGCTAACATGGAATGTCTAGTCGGTCATTTTCTTTTGTAGTAGGCGTATTAATAAAATGTGATGGGAGTTTTTTTTTTTAACCCCCCCCCCCCCTAAACATGGTTTTTTCGCTGCCCCGAAACTTTTTTACCCCTGCCCGGACCTGCGTTTTTGCTGCGTATATGCCTCTCATATTCTCGCGTTTCTCGTATATACTCTCTGGAAAAAACGCTTGCGTGAAAAACGCAATACGCGTTTTTTCCAACATAGGTGCACACACGCGTGCACACACGCATGCAAACACGCGTGCACACACGCCTGCACACACGCCTGCACACACGCATGCACACACGCATGCACACACGCATGCACACACGCATGCACACACGCATGCACACACGCATGCACACACGCATGCACACACGCATGCACACACGCATGCACACACGCATGCACACACGCATGCACACACGCATGCACACACGCATGCACACACGCATGCACACACGCATGCACACACGCATGCACACACGCATGCACACACGCATGCACACACGCATGCACACACGCATGCACACACGCATGCACACACGCATGCACACACGCATGCACACTCGCATGCACACTCGCATGCACACTCGCATGCACACTCGCATGCACACTCGCATGCACACACGCATGCACACACGCATGCACACACGCATGCACACACGCATGCACACACGCATGCACACTCGCATGCACACTCGCATGCACACTCGCATGCACACATGCATGCACACATGCATGCACACTCGCATGCACACTCGCATGCACACTCGCATGCACACTCGCATGCACACACGCATGCACACACGCACACACACACGCACACACACACGCATGCACACACGCATGCACACACGCATGCACACACGCATGCACACACGCATGCACACACGCATGCACACACGCATGCACACACGCGTGCACACACGCGTGCACACACGCGTGCACACACGCGTGCACACACGCGTGCACACTCGCGTGCACACTCGCGTGCACACTCGCATGCACACTCGCATGCACACTCGCATGCACACTCGCATGCACACTCGCATGCACACTCGCATACACACTCGCATGCACACTCGCATGCGCACTCGCATGCGCACTCGCATGCGCACTCGCATGCACACTCGCATGCACACTCGCAGGCACACACGCACGCACACACGCACGCACACACGCACGCACACACGCACGCACACACGCACGCACACACGCATGCACACACGCATGCACACACGCATGCACACACGCATGCACACACGCGTGCACACACGCGTGCACACACGCGTGCACACACGCGTGCACACTCGCGTGCACACTCGCATGCACACTCGCATGCACACTCGCATGCACACTCGCATGCACACTCGCATGCACACTCGCATGCACACTCGCATGCACACTCGCACGCACACTCGCACGCACACTCGCACGCACACTCGCACGCACACTCGCACGCACACTCGCACGCACACTCGCACGCACACTCGCACGCACACACGCACGCACACACGCACGCACACACGCACGCACACACGCACGCACACACGCACGCACACACGCATGCACACACGCATGCACACACGCATGGCGCACGCATGGCGCGTGCACACACGCGTGCACACACGCGTGCACACACGCGTGCACACACGCGGGCACACACGCAGGCACACACGCACGCACACACGCACGCACACACGCATGCACACACGCATGCACACACGCATGCACACACGCATGCACACTCGCATGCACACTCGCATGCACACTCGCATGCACACTCGCATGCACACTCGCATGCACACTCGCATGCACACTCGCATGCACACTCGCATGCACACTCGCATGCACACTCGCATGCACACTCGCATGCACACTCGCATGCACACTCGCATGCACACTCGCATGCACACTCGCATGCACACTCGCATGCACACTCGCATGCACACTCGCATGCACACTCGCATGCACACTCGCACGCACGCACACACGCACGCACACACGCACGCACACACGCATGCACACACGCATGCACACACGCATGCACACACGCATGCACACACGCATGCACACACGCATGCACACACGCGTGCACACACGCACGCACACACGCGCGCACACACGCACGCACACACGCACGCACACACGCACGCACACACGCACGCACACACGCACGCACACACGCATGCACACACGCATGCACACTCGCATGCACACTCGCATGCAAACTCGCATGCACACTCGCATGCACACTCGCATGCACACTCGCATGCACACTCGCATGCACACTCGCATGCACACTCGCATGCACACTCGCACCCACACACGCACACACACACGCACGCACACACGCACGCACACACGCATGCACACACGCATGCACACACGCATGCACACTCGCATGCACACTCGCATGCACACTCGCATGCACACACGCATGCACACTCGCATGCACACTCGCACGCACACTCGCACGCACACACGCACGCACACACGCACGCACACACGCACGCACACACGCACGCACACACGCATGCACACACGCATGCACACACGCATGCACACTCGCATGCACACTCCCATGCACACTCCCATGCACACTCGCATGCACACTCGCATGCACACACGCATGCACACACGCACACACACACGCACACACACACGCACGCACACACGCATGCACACACGCATGCACACACGCATGCACACTCGCATGCACACTCGCATGCACACACGCATGCACACACGCATGCACACACGCATGCACACTCGCATGCACACTCGCATGCACACTCGCACGCACACTCGCACGCACACTCGCACGCACACACGCACGCACACACGCATGCACACACGCATGCACACACGCATGCACACACGCATGCACACACGCATGCACACACGCATGCACACTCGCATGCACACACGCATGCACACTCGCATGCACACTCGCATGCACACTCGCATGCACACTCGCGTGCACACTCGCACGCACACACGCACGCACACACGCACGCACACACGCATGCACACACGCATGCACACACGCATGCACATTCGCATGCACATTCGCATGCACACTCGCATGCACACTCGCATGCACACTCGCATGCACACTCGCATGCACACACGCATGCACACACGCACCCACACACGCACCCACACACGCACCCACACACGCACGCACACACGCACGCACACACGCATGCACACACGCATGCACACACGCATGCACACTCGCATGCACACTCGCATGCACACACGCATGCACACACGCATGCACACTCGCATGCACACTCGCATGCACACTCGCATGCACACACGCATGCACACACGCATGCACACACGCACACACACACGCACGCACACACGCATGCACACACGCATGCACACACGCATGCACACACGCATGCACACTCGCATGCACACTCGCATGCACACTCGCATGCACACTCGCATGCACACACGCACACACACACGCATGCACACACGCATGCACACACGCATGCACACACGCATGCACACACGCATGCACACACGCATGCACACACGCATGCACACACGCATGCACACACGCATGCACACACGCGTGCACACACGCGTGCACACACGCGTGCACACACGCATGCACACACGCACGCACACACGCACGCACACACGCACGCACACACGCATGCACACACGCATGCACACACGCATGCACACTCGCATGCACACTCGCATGCACACACGCATGCACACTCGCATGCACACTCGCAGGCACACTCGCAGGCACACTCGCACGCACACTCGCACGCACACACGCACGCACACACGCACGCACGCACGCATGCACCCACGCACGCACACACGCACGCACACACGCACGCACACACGCATGCACACACGCATGCACACACGCATGCACACACGCATGCACACACGCATGCACACACGCATGCACACTCGCATGCACACTCGCATGCACACTCGCATGCACACTCGCATGCACACACGCATGCACACACGCATGCACACACGCACGCACACTCGCATGCACACTCGCATGCACACACGCATGCACACACGCATGCACACACGCATGCACACACGCATGCACACACGCATGCACACACGCATGCACACACGCGTGCACACACGCGTGCACACACGCGTGCACACACGCGTGCACACACGCGTGCACACACGCACGCACACACGCACGCACACACGCATGCACACACGCATGCACACACGCATGCACACACGCATGCACACTCGCATGCACACACGCATGCACACTCGCATGCACACTCGCATGCACACTCGCAGGCACACTCGCACGCACACTCGCACGCACACTCGCACGCACACACGCACGCACACACGCACGCACGCACGCATGCACACACGCACGCACACACGCACGCACACACGCACGCACACACGCATGCACACACGCATGCACACACGCATGCACACACGCATGCACACTCGCATGCACACTCGCATGCACACTCGCATGCACACTCGCATGCACACACGCATGCACACACGCATGCACACACGCATGCACACACGCATGCACACACGCATGCACACACGCATGCACACTCGCATGCACACTCGCATGCACACTCGCATGCACACTCGCATGCACACTCGCATGCACACACGCATGCACACACGCACGCACACACGCACGCACACACGCATGCACACACGCATGCACACACGCATGCACACTCGCATGCACACTCGCATGCACACACGCATGCACACACGCATGCACACACGCATGCACACTCGCATGCACACTCGCACGCACAC